CCACAGAAAATATAAGAATAATTTTTGCTTTAATTGCACCTTCGTTCAAAAGTTTAAGAATTTCCTTCATTGAACTTAAGTCAGAACTGAATTTGTTTTCCTTATTTTTTATTTTATATGCGATATACGACGTGTGATATGCAATATGTAATGTGTGATACGCGATATGTGATATGCGATATGCAATGTGATATGTGATATTCAACATGTGATATTCGATATGTAATATGTAACATGTTCTGTATCCGTCAGAAGACGTCTATGCATTTTGCAACGAAACGGGTAAGGAATCACCCACCGCGAATAATCCGCTAGGCTAGAAACCGATCGGCGTCGCGACGGGGTCCCTTCCACAAACTGCGTCGGTCGGGAGCAACAAACAAGCAATTTGTTCAAGGGTCGTTGACGCTGAAAACCACGATAATGTTTGTTTAAGTTGGTACGCGTGAAATTATGGGACAATTAGCGTTATGTGGTTTGCTTCGGTGTAGGTGGGCTAGTTGTGAGCGGTATGAAAGAATATTTCGAGTAACATTCATTTACTGGATGGTGTCTGCGTAGTATATCACCATGAACTGAAAACAGGTTCAATTTTTAGATTTCTTTCTATTTTCTCAAGAAAGTAACAAAAGTTTTAGTACCAGCATATTTCTTTTGAAATTTTATTCGAACTAAACTATTTATTGCAAATATTAAAAACGCATTTATTGCACTTTCCTAAATTAATGATAGATGCTGATATTAAACCAGTTCATTAATTTCTTTTATATTTGAGAGTACCTATATGTTACCAGAATCTACAAGAATTGGAAGAACCAAAAACTGTACATTTATATGCATTATGTAGGACTAAAAGCACATAAAAGAGCTTTGAATTAAATTATGTAACTCGTTTATTTATCGCTTCTAAGCATTTAATAACATTCGCTTGCAAAACGGAACAGAGAAACGAATTTCCCCTTGTCTTTTACCTTTTAGTACCAATTCCCCCGACAAAAATGAAAATAACTTTGTGTTAACTGCGTCACACGAGTATATTGCCAAAAATAATATAGGTACATATTAAATTGCGAACATAGGGATATTTATTAACCAATTCTATGCAGTTTCATACAATTATCCGCACTCCCCCGATTGAGAGGGGGAGCGGTGGACATTTCTCGATCAATTAATCCACAAATTTGCAAATGCGAAATTAATTATAAAACAATTTGCCGGTTCCGGCGTTTACCAACAGCTGGGCTTTTGTCGAATGTAGATTGTGGCATCGGAGGCGTTTGAAATGTGTAACTGCAACAATATTATCCGTGCTTTATTTATGAAATGCCATCAAACAGAAATACAGTGACAATAATAATAAATGGGTTTAACGTTTCAATTTAACGCTACCTCTGTGGGTCTATATACAAGGTGTTCGGTAGCGAATGGACCATACTGAAGTAGGAGGCTCCTGGAATCGAAATTATTCTATTGACTTTCAAAAAGTTCAGATGCAAATTTTGAACTGCATCTGCAGTAGTCACAGTTCTTTGCCACAAGTGGTGTTTGATTATATCCAAAAGTCAATTGGATTTAAATCCAAACTACGTAGTGCCTTCTCCATACTTTCATCGGATAAGGAGGCGGGGAATAATTTGTACTTTATTTATTTTAGAATTACGGAATAAGATGTTTTCAATTATATATAAATCAATCAGCTATCTTGATTATATTAGTTTTTTCTAGTACAAAAACCTATTTCCGTTCTCTAGCGATAACTGCACTTGTTTTCAAGGTACTCATAATAGTTTGTTTAATTTTTATTTGCGAGGGAAGAATTTAATCAAAACCTAAACTTCCTCGAACATTTCTTAAAATTAACGAACTTCCCTGACTCTCAGGCAGCTCCGAACAAACTATTTGACTTGCAGTGGGAGCTCGGCTATATCTATATTGCTGACTCTAACAAAGCACCTTCCGACCACTTCGTTAAAAGTTGAGGAGTCGGCAGATACCAAGATTTCCTCGATAGAATCGTCCGTCAGGGAAAACCAATTATTATTGTTAACGGTTTGGTTAAGTTTGCAGATTGGGATGCCAAATCTGCTCTTTAATATTATTATGCGGGATAATTGAGAAATTTCAATTCCGGTAATTGTTTAGGTTAGTTGGACAGGTTAAAACGGAGAATTGGACATCGGGGATAATTCCGAAGATTAGCATTAAATGTTTGATTTGTTACAAGGAATGCTAAAACCCCACTTTCAAGAAACACGATCTGTTTATAAGGGCGGTGTGGTAAAAATATGACTCGAAAATAACAAACTCGGGGAACACGTTTACTATCACGGTTTTGCATCCTTCCACGGCTGTTTGTTTACGTTTCAATCTTGTTACGGCGATTATCCTTGTTTATTTGAATGTTTAATTAACTACTGCTCATATGTAGGTCGACTTGTTCCCGGAAATAAGGATAATCTTCGCGTATTTTGAAAAACAGTCCTACATACGACGAGGTATAATATAGAAATAGGAAGTAAACATGAAACACCTTTCAAAATAAACATAAAGTGTTGCTTTTTTGTGATTTTATAAAAACAAACTTAACTCATTATAGGTACTTTTGCAGCTTCGTGCAGTTTCTTTGGTTAGGCAGCGATATGCTAGCAAATATCAGACTTATCTTTATTTCATTTGAGTTCGTCTTTAAGTTGAGTTTCATTAACTTCTAATGTTTCAATATACCAATTTATATTATCAATATTTAATCTCAACTTCCGTAATTTGAGAGATTATTTGCTAAAGTGGGTAAAAGGCAAACGATACGGGTTTGAACAGTTGATAAAATTTATACGGATACATTGTTCCCCTTCTTTGACGTGAAGGATATAAAAAATACCGAAAGTAATATCGCCTTACGTTGAAAAAACGAAGGAGATCGTCTTCTGTTTGTTTTCCCGAGGCCGTTTATAAATGTCAGCAGCCTGATCAAACTTTTGTTTTTATGTCTAAGTAACCTTAGTCTTGGAGAATAATGGCCAACTGAAGATTTGTGTGGATCAAGGATTATTTTTGATGATATATTTACGGTTTTAATTAAAGTGGAAAATTTGTGAAATTACAAAAATTGTTGAAAGATGAAATAGGCATTTGATATTGTACTGTATAATTATATTTTTCTTTTTTTTTATTGTTTTTATCTAGATTAAAACGTAAATACAGTAAATTAGAACGGTAAAGGCGTAGAAATTTCCTGTTCCTGCAAAGTTTGCGGTGAACGACAACATTCCATTGCGCTGAGCATTACAGGGAATCCTCGGAGAAATTGCTGTTGTCCCGATTACTCGAGAAATACCAAGATGATTTCCACTGAGCGCTGAAGGATTCTGGCACGGCTACGGCATTTCATAAAACATGAGTGAATTTTGAGCTAGTTCCACACCAATTAAGTTGCTCGTGGGGTAATTTATATTTCAGAAGGTTTATAGCAGGTTTTAATTCAATTATTCAAATACAGGAAGTTACATTATAACCCGACAAAAATAGAGGAATGTTTAAAAAAAAATTCTTATATAAATATTACCCTTAAAGTAATTAATTTTGAGATACTGGCTGTTGAAACTTTCAGAGGAATAACAATTGTATCGGTTTGTACAAAACAGTTTTTATTTTCAAAGCTACTCTTTTTTGGTAAAAAAAAAATAATCTAAAGTTTTTGTAGTGCACACAAAAGAAAGAAAAAAGGACGAGGAAAACGGTTCTTCCTATTTGACTTGTTATATAGTGTCACACCTTGTATTTAAAGTTATTAAATGTCTGTTAATTGGAATATGTCTAAACTCGCTGTGGAAATTAATTTTGCTTAGTAATTTTTCCACTGATTCGTACAATCAAAATTTTCAGTCACGCCGTATGTTTCGGGAAATAAAAGCGAATAATCTTGCTATACTTTCCGCGCATTAATTGCAATCAGTTCCAAACGTTTGTTCGTGTACAGGAATTGCAATTGCCGATAATTCCTCCCGAAAGTGCTAAATATTGCAAAACCTTTCAGTACAGAGATAAATTGTAATTGCCAGTAAATAGGATTTTTCCTCTAATCAAAAGTTTTATTCCAATTTATCTGATTGTCTGGATTGCGGGAAATAACTCAAAGTTGGTCTGATTGTGTTTGAACTGAAACAAAAAGAATGTTTTATTTTTGGAGGTAAAAGAAACTAACGTTTCTAAAAAACTTCGTCTACAAATTACGCGACTTATCTTTTTACCTAGACGCATAAACCTTCTTTCCACCGAGGCCAATGTTTGTCTATAAGGAATCAGTCGGTTCGGATATCTTTGGTGGTATAATCTACCACAGCGTTACTATTTTTTTCTGGATTAGAAATACATTTGGAGCATGTCAACATATTCATCATTGGTATAAATATTATTTGCCATAATTATTCTGACAATAAATTAAACAATCGGTACTAATTATTGGTTAACAAAAAGTGTCAATTTATTAATATGATAAATAACAATTTATTTGTTATGACATCCGCCTACTTTGTATGTATGTATGTATGTCGGAGGGTGGTGGAATTGTTTTTCCACCGCGGCACTTAGGCCTTATTAGGCCCCTTGTACATCCTCCTTCATTAATCGAGTACTTTTCTTATCCTATTTACTACACGGGTGGCTTGGTGGCAAAGTCTCGTACAGTTTATGTATGATAGCACGGTCTTGAGTTACAGAGATTTTCTTTGCTCTGTTCTCATTACCATTTATCGGGGACCACACGCATGCGGAAAATGTTGAGCGACCCAGGTCTCTGGTAGGCTGCCACAGCCACGTCCCCGAGCCTGCCTTAGGTCATCCATCCAAATTCCAGCCTGCGTCCGTGATGCTTACCTCGGCAGATCGAAATCCACCGGCCAAGACACCCGCCTACTTTTTTTTTACAAATCATCTTCATCAATTTTATTACTATTTCCGCTCATCTGGATTTGCTGTGCTTATACCGAGCGTTGTTGTTGCAGGAGCTGCGCACGTGCCATGCCCTACGATGTGGAGCTACGTGATGGCGGCGGCGCGAGGTGACCCCCGCAGACGCCCAGGGTCGGTGTTTACGGTGCAATCGGCGGGGGCCGGACCTGGCCCCTGCAGGGACGGGCTCAACCACCCCAGATGCCCCATCAACTCGCACAAAGGATACCAGAGGGTAACACAGGACGATGTATTATTGCAGGCTATTTTTTTATTTCCTTCGGACAGGGTGCTTACGGCGAAGAGACAGAGGCACTGATTTTTTAATGTCTCAAAGTCAAAATTCAATAAAACATGTATTGCTACAAAATTTGGATATAATTAGGATATAATTGATTAAAACAGTATAACATTCCATGGTACCATCATTGATTTGCCCCTGTTGTTTTCGGGCAAGGCTGTGTGGGGGCGGATCCGCTATCAGAGGCTCTGATGTTGCTGTTGATGAAACCGTTCTTCAGGTAACATTCCGAAAAAAACATTACATTATTAACAGAGGACTTGTGCAGTTCTTGAACAACTTTTACATAATGTTTTTATATGGAAATAGATAATCTCTTTCGAAGACTAAAATATTTTTAAAAGCATTACTTCGGCCTCTGTCTCTTCAGCTACTATTTTTTAGATGTAGTTTCGTAGATACCTTTTTATTTTTCACAAGAGTACGTTTTTTGTAGGTTACTATACTTTGTAAACAAAATTCACAACCTTTGGACCGTATTCAAACTCTTGTGCGATTTTTCAGAAGGATATCATTTCGAGAGGCTTTTCAAGGGACGAACTCAACTCGAATCTCTCAAGAGATGGGTCGAGGGACGTGCTGGCCGAAGTACGGGTGCATACGCCCTATGCGGAGAGGTGTCATAGCCCTTCTGAAGCACCTTTACAGGTAAGAGGTCCTTTACCGTATGTTATATCGTTTTTTATCAGTCAGACATCGGAAAAATTTTGTCATGTTAATGTTCAAGGGGGTCTTACTTTAAAAAGCATTTATTTCCCCAGCATATTTTTTAAATTAGTCAATTACCTTATTTTAAAGACACCAATGTCGAAAAAATTGTATGCGTTGTATTTTTCTAATATATTTTATTGTTGATTAATTTCAATAATAATAGTTCTGCTTCAATACAAGAAAAACCCATTTCCCAAGATATATCGAAAACATTTTTGTTGTTTAAATTGGTGAAAAAATGTCAGCAACTTCTTTCTTTAAAAGTCATTTTCATAAAATATAAATTGAAATAGTTATTTGAAAAAAATATGCCCAAAAAAGTAAAATTTTTTCAGTCATTTTTTGGTCCTTAAAATTAATAAAATCGATAAAAATTTTTAACGGCATGATAATACAACTCTTTACGAAGAAAATAAACCGAAAATCGTTACTGTAGGGCCATCCGCTGAGAAGATCTAACCAATTTTCGAGAGCGCCGTTTTTTCAAAGAATCGATATATCTCGAAAAATAATTAATATTTTCTAATTTTTCAAAAATCTACTCTTTTTGGCTTGCCGCGGGCTATGCTTGCAGTAAATAGAAAGTATGGGAACAATTTTTAACGGTTTTTTCGATATATCTCGAAAAGTAACACTGCAATTGATACTTACAAAAAATCAGTCGATAGTTCTTTTTAAAACCCACAACTTTCTCATTTAACATTTTTCGATTGGAGCTGCATTTTTTTAGTTATTTTAGAAAAACCGTTTTTGCAACTTCGCGAATTTTCTAGCCATGTTCATCATTTTGGATCGAGTTTAAAAAACAAGAAACTCAATTTAAAATTTAATTTCATATACGGTAATATTTTTTTCAAGTATATTCTATAATACTTGGACTAATTAGAAGGAACTTATTCGGTATCTGTGAAACCCAATTTTTTACATTTTTGTTTAGGAACTAGCGCGGAATTTCTAAAGCGAGCTCCAGCCAATATCAATTTGTTTACTTCTTAGTTCCTTGAGTGAATTGAATAAAAGTCCGTCGTATTTTTTACCGACAATTTATTTAAGTAAGAGAAGTCTGCATGCAAAGCAGTGATCTACATTTGTTATGGAAACTCTCTAGGTAAAACCAGAATGAGCCCGGTTTTGCGGGAAAATGCACAGTTTACCTCCGGATCTCATCTACCATAAAAGTGAATGAAATGGGAAGTGCAAAGCGGAATATCAATTACATTTTTTGTTAAACAAGGTACCAGTACAAAGAAGCCAATAGTTTGAAGCAAAATACCCTGCTTATTTTACATATGTATGCATACAGTACAGTATAAACTGTTTGTGTCTCTTTTTATATATAAAAATCTTTTTTGTTTCAACTAAACCGCCTAAATAGCTTCATCATCATCTGCAAACTTCTGAAAACTCTTTTATAACAGCATTGTCGAATAATTTCTATTGTTTAATAACTTTCCCTTGTATTTCAAGAAATATTTTACACTTCTTTACCCACATTACATTATAATGCTTCTTTAATAGTATTTAGGAATATTGTAAGAAAATATTTAGAATGTCTTAGCGTATATTTCAAACAATAGCGATAATCGAAGAGACAATATATATTAATTAAGGAAAAATCCTTTTATTTGAATCCCTATAAATTTCCCTTGAAATAGAAAGCTTCGTATACATTTCCATAACAAAAAGATAAACCCTTAAAGACACTTTCTAATAGTAGTCACATCGGAGCATCTCTACTAATGGATGCCAAACAAAAAGCACTTTTAAAAAACCTAGTCGTTATTTTTATGCAAATGTGGCTGCAAACAATAACCCACTCGCTTGCTTTTTGTCCAGTAGCCAGCGCTCCCAGTCAACCTTCGTAAGGTGGGGGTCGGAAAATTTAGAATTTTTTCGCATTTTAATATTCAGGGTTATATTCCGCGGAAGGGTAAGGAACGGAAAATAATTTTTAAAAAGGTATTCATTGCAATTAGTCTCTCTGATACGTGACTGTATTAAATATCGTGTGGGAACGTGCTCGCAATTAGATATTTTAATGCCTGGACAGTGGCGCAGTTGGTCAAAAACGCGAAAAATGTTTAAGAAATTTCAAGCTTTGTTCCATATTTTTTAACTCTTAACAAAAAGCTTTTTCGATTTGTGCCCTAGATGAAAATTAAAAATTGTGTTTTACTTTTCAAATTAACATGCTTTGATACTTTCACAAACAAACGATAGTCCTAGAAGAAAATTGTATTGTTTTGTAAGCCATTGTTTAATGTTGATTAAATAGGCCCTATTTTGGTCGTTTACCTTACTTTATCAATGAGTTTGTATGGGAAAAATACATTGAGATAAACATTTTTCTAAAAAACATACCGTACCACTTGCAAATGCGATAAGCAGAGTACAGCCAGTAATTGATACAAAACCAGAGGCGTACGTTTCCACACAATTTCTATATGCAAATTTTAGGATTATAAATCAAATCATCATACGATAAAGCATATTCGACATTATTATATTCTTACTGTGCTATTATTTTCATTAAAGTTATTTTTAATTTCGTGCTTCAATACATTTTTTTCAACATTTGTAAACAAAGTTTCAGACATTTTTAAATTTTCACAGTAAAAACCACAAGTCTCGGCAATAAACATTGTAATAGAACTGAAGATAATCTAAAATTAAACTAACAAATTTTTCTATTACAAAAAAAACGCTGACATGCCATTTAGGACATAACTATTCATAAATTTTCATGTAGCATGCAAGTCGGGGGTGATTCCAGCAGTTCTCAACAAGTTTTATTCATTTTAACCATCGTTTTGCAGTTCTACGATTTTGATTATTGAAAATGATTATTATTAACGCATCTTACCTCCCATAAAAAAAGCCTCTTCAAAAAACATTTCGTTGCCCTTGCATTAAAAAAAAATACCTTAGATAAGTTGGCAGCTAAAGGGGTACTAGGCACCATTTCCTCGGGTATAGTAAGACGTCAGATGGTTGGATTCCTATTCTGAATGCTGAATAATAATACGCTGCCTCCTCTCCCATACAAGTCTTTGACTTCAAACCTAACCCTCGCGACTAGAATGTGGAGTAGAAGCTTATATTATTACTATTATATTATTTAAAGCATTGGCGAACCCCTTCCGAAAAATACCTGGTCGCGCCAGCGGTCCTCCAGCCCGCACACATTAGGCACCATCACCATCCCATATCGCTATCATTCTCGCCGCGGGGCTCAGTTTCAGTTGTGTTATCGGCCCGTCAATTATCGGATCGCAGTGTGCGGTGTCGATAACAATTGATGGGGTTTTCGCGGGACAAATTATGATACTCGACACCAGCGCCAGCCGAGATGGTAACGGTGAAGCTGAACATAACTCCGATCACCAATTATTGCACGGTACGTAGCCTATGACGACGAAAAAAAATTTGAACATTGCGGTGACAAATCGAGGGTAGCTCTAAAAAAGGGCGTTTTTCGTGATAGTCCAGTTCGTAGAGGTTCGGCCTGTGTCAAACCTTGATAACCGAGAAATAACTAATATTTTGTAGCTATTTTTATTACGAACAAAATCATGTTCTCAGCATTTTTTCGTACAAAGTCATCCCGCTGAGTTATTTAAAGAAAACTACTAAAAAAAATTGCTGCAATGCAAAATTAATTTTTAACTTTTTTCGTTCAATTTTTTTGCACGCAAACAGTTTTATACCTCCAAAAATGTTTATTACCTTTACATATTCACATTCTAACACCTTCATCTGTTTTACTTTTATACTGAGAGGAGAATTGTTTTAGATTTTTTCACAATTTTAAAACTTTATTTAGACGCGCTAGCTTACGTCATTAAGTGCGATAGAGAACATGACACGGACAGGCACAGCATCGTCATAGTAAACATATATCATTTATTATAAATCTGCCATAATGCGTAATAAAAATGTAGAATGTTGTCAGTCGCACTAAATGACGTCACGACGCCTTCATTAAAGACATTTTTTTACCACTGTTGTTTAAGTACACAAACAAAATTATGCACATCTAAAAGAATTTAAATCCAATAAAATGTTTATATGAAAAACCTTATTTGTTTTCAAAACATTGTGTATATTTTTCGTTTTCTAAAATCTGTATATACTTTTTTAAGCAGTAAATTTACAAAAAATATATCACCATTTAATAAATACAGGTATTTTATCTAATGACAAAAGCCCTCATTATTTTAACGGAAAAAAAAATCAGTCAAACTGTAAATAGGATTTGCTTATGATTATTTGACCCATTTGGCTCTCTTCCGTTTTATCCCGGAAGCGTTTTGTGTGGAACTTCACAGTCGATTATATCATGTACCTCACATTTTCATCTAAAACTCGGTTCTCATGCAAATTCGATGAAGAGATATGAGGGAGCTGTCATCTAATTTACTTATATTTAAAAATACACGAATATGACACTGAACATCGTACATAAGGGGAGATACAATAATCATATTCGCCTACGCCTCTGAATCCCTTAGGACCGGTCTCGGATGGAGTAGAAGGCCCCAATTGGGACTTTAGTATTCCCACATATCAAATAGAATCACCATCACATTCGACTCCCCGCATTGAGAGAAAAATGAATGCGCTTAAATTGATATTAATTATAAGTACTCGTTAATAAAAAGTAAAATTGTTTAGAATTTATTTAAATGAATGTTGGAACACTTATTTGCTTGAGCAAAATAAGTTTTTCAGTAAATCCCAAAGACTCGCTGGCCTAATTCAGTTTCTAGGTATTTCAATAGGTAATTTTACACCCTCTTAAAGGGAAGGGAGTCTTACCACGTGATACCCTTGCTGTTAGGGATCAAATTTTCACGTCAAAGTGTGTATAGATCAAATACAAATTGATTTCCGGACCTTTTCCTTTTTTTTCTTCAGAAAGTTGAAAGTTGAAAGCTCAATACTTAATTAGGTATGTATTTTTTCTGTGACTTTCTATACATGATAGGCGTCTTTTCTTGTATATATTGCCAATGCGAATATCCTAGCCGAATTCCCAATCATACTAACATCAAATTCTTCATTTGTTACATTACGAAGCGCTCTATTAAACTCTCGGCAATTTCCAGCTCGTCGGGGATTAATCAGACATCAGCGACCGCTGATAATTTATTTCCTGTTAGTAGGTACGCCTGGATTTGTCCGAGAGGGCAGACGGGTCGCCTGAATCCTAGGAGTCCTTGAACGTCCAGTCGTTTGTCGTTCCAAATCCCGCTCTTAGTGCTCTTACAGAACCACTTAGCTCTGCGGCTAGTTACCTAGAGTGGTATTGGGGATTTGCAACCAACTACTTTACCACGCATCCCTTAATAAAATGCTCTTCGAATATTTCGTAGGCAGTTAACAGTCTAAATACAGCAATTATTACCTATCTCGAAATTGTCACATGTATGTTATAAACAAATTATCGGAAAAACGTTTTACATAACGATACACACTGTATATTTCGTACACAGACGTATAAGCCTCAGAGACATACGTCGCAACTGAAACAGCACTGGGGGTTAAACTGTATTGTTCCTAAATCGGGGTTTTCTATCTGTGGACGCCGTTAGACAAGTCTGCGTTCTAACTGCCCTTTTTATAAGACCTTTGTCGCCTCAGCCGGTGTAGATTTGTAGAGAGAATAGTTCTTACACATGCGTTTGGTCACATACCCTTTGTTAGATTAAAGCAATACCCTTTCTTTCGATTCGCCATTCTCGTATCGCGAGCAAAACGTAAACCAGAAAATATACACTTATGAAAAGATAAAAAGAATCCGTAACCGAACGAACAGAAAAATTGTGTGGTCGCCTCAAATTAAAAGACCATCTAGAGAATTTAGGATGGGCCTAATAGCATTACAAATCCAGATTAAATAGAGCCTTATTCCCTTAAAGAGGTATAAAAACACCCGCAGTGGGCACGAAAAAGGGCCAAAGGAATTCATAAAACCAAATTAATCACGTTCTGATAGCCCAGAGGAAAAATATAATTCTGTGTGTCTCAGAATTTTAACAGGCGTTTTTGTGGAATTTACAGAATACCTTTACAGAATTTATACTGAAAATAGCCTTCAAATAAAGTGTATAATTAACACTTTACAAATTAGGGAATTAATTAATAATAACTTCACAAGTATCTGCCTTTTTAGATGCATCAGCAAGCAACTGTTTTGGTATTTTCATGAAAATATATATTATTTTAATACATAACTATGCACTGTCCATAACAATCACGATTTAGTTATACTAAGTCGTATTTTTCACAAATCTAAAGCCAGTTCAAAATAATAAACGCAGTGATATTTATTGTTTCTAACTTAGAATTCTCTTGGAAAAAAAACATAGGGAAACAGTTACAGAAGTTCTCCCAGATGATTCCATTAAACCTCTTAATGAATGCAAGAAGTTTTGTTAGATCGTCTTGAACTTGGAAGAAGTAATCAGAAATTCATGGAAATATACCGTTAAGATCTCGATTAGAGCCGTAAATTTCTCGAACAAGATGGGGCAAATAAACAAAGATGCCACGATCCCCATTTTTTGCATACTAGCGTTAATTATCCCAACGGAAAAACATTATATTGATTTAATAAAACAAATTAATACGTCGCTCTAATTTAAATTTGAACAGTTGAACTCTCTTTAGAAGTAATAAAAAAACAATTTCTAATTCTTCAATTCGTTAAAAATAGCATTCACAACACATTAATTGAGAACAATAGCAAAGAAATTCCAGTCCGGAGTTTTCAATTCGAGGCCCCCCCGCATAATCCGATTAGCTAAACACGCCGCTGTTAAAAAAAAAACAATTAAAACGGATAGGATAATTTCTCCATCCACCCAGAGCTGGCAAAGTGCAGATAAAAATAGACACTTTGAATTAACGTCAACCACCGGAATTAGATTATTTTTCTCGACCTACTCTAAGAAAAAGCAACCGGATTCCTTCCTTCAAAAAGTTATCACAAAAGTTCTATTTGGGGCAATAACCTTCTAGGTCATTAAGTGAATCGCAAATCCCATCATTTCAGTTACACGTGAATTTTCAGTTCCTCGATCATGGTCAGTCTATAAATAAAATTGGCTGTTGGCACCTATTTTGAGAATTTTTCACACTATAACATTATCTGTATATACAAGTAGTTATCCCTACAAAAATGTCACGTAAAATAGAAATACCCTTATCTAACTCATTGATTTTAATTGGAGTTCATATTATCAGGCTGTAGTATGGTTATATTTGTTCAACATTTCGCATCAGCTACTACTGTTTATACATTCTTGTGGTTCTAATTTAATAGTGTGTACAGATTCTCAATGATACTGTTCACGTCATCATTTCAAGGCTTAAAACTCGCATCACCTATGTAGGATAAATAAATTGAAAAATAATTTGTTGCCAATTAACCCACTTGGAACATTAATTAATTAATTCAAGACAAGCTGGCAAAGTAAGAGATTTATATCCGACAAGTACATTTAGTAAATTTAATTAAGTAAAGTAGGTTAAGTTTTTTTTAAGTAATTTCGTTAGTTGAGTTGGATGACAAGAAATTTGCATGTTTTAGTTTACTATGTATCCTATTAGAGGTGTTAAGGAACGAACCTAATCATGTCTTGTTTGATTCAAACCTTACAAAGGTACAGTATCTCTTTAACAAAAATGTATGTCAACATAGATGAATTCATCATTAAACTTTGATGACCATGATGACGATGATGTTGATGAATCCGATGCCGGTGATGATGGAAAACATTCACACACAGGAGCTTCAAATTTGTATTTGTGTCAGAACCTCTCACTTCTTTCTTAATGTACGCTCTAGTATCAATTTCTTTACGCTTTTCTATTACTATATAACGACTGTGATTAAGATTGTCCTCAGCCAGATTCGCCATGAATTTAAATCACGACGGCTTAGGGGGCACCAATATATGCAAATCGGAGGGTCACAGTGGCTAAATTTTGGATAATTGTTGGCTTTACCTTTTAGCTATTGTGCTTACCTTGTCAGACAGCAACGAATTTATCTTTGCATAAATTAGCCAAAGTACTTAAAGTTTTAAACGCTGCTATAATAAAGGGTATGACAACTTGCCAATTATTCCAAAGGATCTGGGAAACGATTTAAATAATTTTTACTAAACAAAGGATGTTAGCTATTTTTTATTTATATTTATATAACATTGGAGCAATATTATTAGAATTATGAGAGATATAAGGACAAAACATTTTTGTAGTAAATATTCAAGTATCTTGGTCTTGGTTTTGAACACTGAAACATTTTTGAACAACTTTACAATGGCATAAAAAATAGTGCTTGATTGCAATGGTTGGCTTCAACATTGAATGATTATCGTATTTTTGTTCTTACAATGGAATATATTGACTTTTTAGGAATTACTCAATGCCAGTAACAATATTTATTTATGACATGGCCTTTGTTAACACAATTCAACAAAACTTGGCCCTCTAGACGTCAGATAGCGCACTAGCTTCCGTACCTGGGCTAGGTAGATTTTCATTATCCCGTCCAATTAATACCGCTGCTCATTTACATTGCTCAGTAGTATATTTGGATTCAATTAAGATTTCTATCATATTTTATGAGCGCTTTAGATGTTTTAGTGTAGTTTATGGCATAGTTAACTGCCATTCGAGACGTGACGGGCTTCAGAATTCCGAATGGCGCTGTCGTTAGACAATTAGCTTTGGATTTGGTGGGTTTTATTGATGATTTACGTCAGATAGCTATCGAGGTGTCGTTGTTTGTCATATATTGAGTACATGGAAGGGTTTTGATTGCAAATTAGTAACAATGAAATATAAAGCTTCAGCTTCTTTGTTGAAAATTAAAAACAATAGATAAGTAGGTAAATTTTGATTATTGTTTTTTTTTATGAAAGTACTGAAAATGAAGAAAGTGGTTGTATAGTTAGTGATATGCGATGAAAAAATACTTTTTTTACTATACAAACAGTGTGCTTCATAGCTAAGTGTATGTTTGTTTCATGAAACTTTCAGCATCAGATATTTTTCTGAGTGTACATTGCAGTTCCAGCACATTCCTCGCGGTTCGGAAGAAGCCTGAAAGTGACAAAAGCTTTCAACAGCAGTGTTTATCAAAAAAAAAACAGGGCTTCAATCTCACATCGCTAAACAATAGCTATTTCCTCGTCTTTGTGGCTAAAAAGTAAGAGCTTTCCTTTTACTCGGGAACCGCTTGTCGAAGAGAGTGCATGTCTGGAATTTGTTTGCTTATTCCGGAACTTTACATACCTATACACTTCATTTAAACGGTGCTCATCCGTGTGTAAATGTTTTCGATGCAATATCGTTCTGCGTGTTTCATTTCACTGAGTTCTGTCAAACTGAATAGAAAAGTTGATCTTATGAATTTAACTTTGTGCCTAATCAGAAATGTTACACAGTCAACGTTTCATTTTTCAACATTTGATCTCTTGAAGAAATTAATTTTACTCCGAATAAAATGATCGATGCGAAGCTTCACACAAGACATTATCTTTGCTTGTATCTCCAAATGCACATTTGTTTTTACCACAATGTCTGTCTGTGTGTACGTATAAATATTTCACTTACTTTTTCCCATTTGTACGCATTGCATTCTAGGGTACGCAGAATACATTCTCACAAACCGAAATACTAGAATAGACAAGCCACTCGGCGTCACTCCTTTTCATATCTGGGCCTCTAAATATGTCTGCTTCAGCGCGACGCGTCATCGAGCCGACACCACCGAACAATACCCGAGTCCCCCCATTGTCATCCAAAGATGAGAGAGTCCTTTTTGTCCGCAGGAAAATACTCAACAGAGCCGTCTTTTTTCGACCGTTCGCGGCCGGCTGAGGAGGGTGGCGGCTTCCTTGCAAGCGGCCATCCGCTTCCGAAGGTTCTCGCGCAAGGAAACACAGCCACCGGACTGGTTCGTCGACAAGAGCCACCAGGACGAAAGCGCCGACCAGGACGACGGCCCCGAGCCCGCCTGCTGGGGACACCACATCGTTGTGGACCCCGCCCTGCCATCGCACTATAAGGTAGGTGTCACCCAAAGCAATTTCCTTCAATGTTTTTAATGTCGGATACACCAGCAACTAAAATAAATGATTATTTTTTGGCTGTGATCTCTAAATTATTATACGTCATACAGAATTAGACCCAATCAATCCAAACGGCGACGAAAGCTTATAGCTTTATGGAACTCACAGTCAGAAAAGACATCTGTCAAATTGAAAGGCTTCAACCTATGCACCACTGCACACGGCGAACATAAATACCGGCAAGAAGACTTAATCTCCAGTTTCTTCTAGCATTGTGTCTGAGGTAGCAACAAATCCGGATTATACAACAATTAACAACCATAGTAGCCTGAAAATCAATGATCAAGGATATTGGATAAATACATGACAAGGAAAAGGAAACTGTTAAGCCAATTGGCATGGTCGTTGTCAAACAAGATCTAGTAAGTTAAAAGTGCTGAAGATTTTATCAAAACATCAGAAGATAGATCTAAATTTTATCCTAGTATGTTTGGATGGTAAGTCATTATTTACAAAGGTGAGAATTAAAGAAATATTGAAAAGACTTCATCCAACCATCATCGCAGAAGGTAATGGCGATAATTTAGTGGACTTGGCAACAGTGTGCACCAGATGTACCAAAATTTATGAATAAATTGAAGGAGCAGTCTACAATTATCCTAAGCCTTGGTAAAATCTTCATAGAATCCTTCGAAATGAAGACCCTGGCGTCAAAATTTTTAAGCCAAAGTGTTGGTTTAGATACATTGACGATACGTCTATCATCTGGTTTCGCGGTTACAGAAAGATTGCTAGACCAGAATAATGAAATACATCCAGACATCACTTTCACATGAAACTGGAAGAAACCAAATAGTATAGAGCATATTTTACAGAAAACCACCATCCATTTCAGGAAAAAATCTATCATCAACACATTATTGCATTGAGGAACTTTGACGAGGAACTATATCTCTTAGAACCAGCCAGAGAAAATAGATGTACTAATACAAACATCACAAGAACACCAAGGAATAAAGAGAAGGAAAAATTGTAACAACTACATAACCTAACAAAACACTAAATTATCTTTTTGTAGGCGCAGAATGTTCCATTCTTAATCCTCACAAGTGGCACTTGAGGTGTTAATAGACAGATAACGAGCGTTCAAATAAAAACGTGGTCGAAGTTGGCTCTGACACATTGGACGTAGGGAATAGCTTATAGCGACCAACTTAACCTCATTTCTCAACGAGCTGTATAGCAGCTGTCAGTTTCAATAACGTTAATGACTATATAACTTTATTTTAAAGAATAATCGTGATAACAATAACAAACAATTAAAGGAGCTGCGGAAAGTGTCCCCCTCCTTGTTATAACAATAAATTAAAGCAGCTGCTGAAAGTGTCCCCCTCCTTGTTCCAAGCACTTTTCACACCTGTTCCTCAAAGAATTAAAGACATTTTCTAAGATGCTCGGGGTATTGTTAATTTCACGAATCTTGTCTATAAGTCGAGCCTGCAGATGGTTTAAATCAGGAATAGGCAGTTCAAAAATAGTGTTTTTAAGGTAAGGCCACAAAAAGAAATCACACGGCGTAATATCACATGACCTCGGTGGAAATTCATGTTCAGCATTGAGACTTATTAGTCGATTTTGGAAAACTTCCCTCAACATATTCATCGTCTCGCCTGCCGTATGTGCCCTTGCGCCATCTTGTTGAAAGTAAAAGTTTGTAATTTCGTTTTCTTCCAGCTGGTTAACAAAAGGAGCGATAATTTCTTCTCTATACCTTTGCGCAGTAAGAGTACCATTAAAAAAAATAGGTCCATAAATCCTCCTTCGATTGAGAGCACACCAAACTCCAATTTTTTGAGCGTGTAGAGGGCCCTCGACAAAAAAGTTATCTGGTTTTTCAGAAGACCACATTCTCATATTCTGTGAGTTTACGTAACCACTTAAATGAAACCAGGCTTCATCAGAAAAAAAGGTGATATTATGAAGTTCACCGTAGTTGTTTAAAAACCATTCACAAAATACAGCCCGTCGCGGAAAATCAACTTCATGAAGTTCTTGCTGACAAGTTAAACGATAGGAGAACAAACGCAAATCTTTTTTTAACACTGTGTGGCAGGTACCGACTGATACTCCCACCATTTGTGATAAAACACGTACAGAAGTTCTTGGCGCATTTTCCATTATTTGTTGGACAGTCATGGATAAAAAATGCGAATGTGGCGATATAATTAATCACACTTGCCTTGTGCAATGTCCCACTTGTAAATACACAACAAAATCGTAGAAACACTGGTCATATAATGTAATTCTATGAACAAACCGTAACCAGTCTGTTGTTTTATATAAACGGTATTCCAAACACAATTTCGAGACTCAAAAGCAGCGCTTTGAACTAAAAAGCTTGCCCTGGCGAAAGTTCCCATTCTGCCATTCTCTGGTAGGAATAAAAAAACAGGTACAGCACAAATGCTAAAACTGTTTCAACGACGTATATGGTAAATTAATCGACGAAGTGCTTTCTCACTGCAGCGACTGCTAATTTCCGTACGAGGTAAACGAGTTCATATTTATGTGTCGTTTTGGAGGTAAAAGCAAACTTCGGTCGATTGCGTCCCGAATAAAAAGGTCGCTATGCTGCGTCTAATTAAGTCTTAATTAAATTAGGACAAAGTTTCCACGTCGGTAGGTTCTGCATCCAATAAATTCTAACTGAACATTCTTTAGATTGTAGCATACCTACAGTGCATTCTTTAATTTCGCGTATTATAGAGGTACAACAGAGAAGCATGCTCATAGATGAAATAAATAAGTTCGGATATCTTTGAGTGCTTACCGAATAAATAAAAATCACTTCACTGCATCAGCAATTCAATTCAATGACTTTTATGAACTGCAGGTAACTGCAGGTATAAAATGAGACCCATCAACGTGAAAAATACTGCAGTTTTAGTCCTAAAACCGCCAGACTTAATCGAAAACAGTTTCATTCCATCTCAACTATAGTTTTACTAACCATTCGTGACATGGGAAAATGTTCTACTTTCATTCCAGGTGGGATAAAATGGTTTTATGTTTTTTAAAGTAAGTAGGCATCTAAATTGGACTTTTACGTCACTATTGTTTAGGTTTATCGACACCTACAATGTTGTTAAATTAAAATATAGTGAAGTTAGACTGGCGGTTTATGTGAACCCTTTGACATTTACATGATGGAAAATAGAAAATATGATACAGATATGAAGCCGCTTTTGTATACACGAATACTTTTTACTGGCTGGTGCTCGCAAAAATCGCTCCACTTTCGAATAGCACAAAGTGAAATAACGATTGGATGTTACCCATTTCTAGAATAAGTGATGTTACATGCTTGTGTAATGTAATTTTACACCATTCTGTATTGTAATATGTATTTTTTAGTTTGTTTATTCTTTATTTTTGCTGACTGCCCCACAGTCGAACAATAAAACGGTATCTTTCACAAAATATGCACATAAAAAACGCCTATTTAATCCAGAATAACCCGGACTACCAGCATGGTTGTCCAATTTCCGTATTTAACGCGACAATCTCGCTTAGTATGTAACGCGATGTACCTGGTGGAACTAACAAACCGCCATCTATTGCAGTGGCTGATGGTAGTGTCGCTGGCCGTCCTCTACAACGTCGTCTTCGTCCTCGGTCGCGCCGTCTTCTGGGAACTCAACAATGCCGTGCCACCCCTGTGGTGGACCTTGGACTACGCCTGTGATGTCATCTACATTATAGATACTCTAGTTCATGCTCACGAAGGTAATAATAATTTAATAATACTCTGTATATGTACATATTCTTAATATCGTTACCAAAGTTTAGTCCAAAATTGTTTAGTCATAATCAGACGTCTGTTTTGAATGCTGCACTTAAAAAAATCATTGATCAGGATTTTCATTATTTGTCTTTTCGTTTTTTTTCCCTTATTTTTGATAAATATTTACCTGCATGAGTTTGTCAAGGGAATATTGCAATACCCTGTAGAAACATAGGTATATTTTAGTGACTTTACAACAAACAATGCAGGTTCCTCTTTCCCAGTAATTCTGTCTTCTAAATTTTGCAGTTCAATACTGTCGCTAAATTAAAAAATGAATTTTTTATATTTCGCTGTCCATTTAGATGTCGCTTCCCATTAACTGTAACTTTTCCAGTGGTTAATTCCAAGGTCCCCGTCGTGGAAGGGAAAATTGGAGAATGCAATAAAGAACGCAAAGGTTAAAGGCAAATATTTGCCCAGTCTATACCGCGCAGAACCAATTTATCCGGGAGAGTTATGAATCATAATTTTGCAAATTGTTTCCCTACGTAAACGCGGGGACATCAATAACTCTGGAAGTAAACACCGCTCCCTTCTTCGGAAAGCGATATTTTCCACCAATTAGACAAACATACTGTATGTACGTAATAAATTTCTTGAGGGAAAGTTATGAACAAAAGCAAACATTCGCGCTTACCGAAGAAAAAGAAGGTAGAAAATATGTCCTGACGATAATTTTAATCTAAGTATTCATTTGTTATTTGCATTCTGTTTTGCGAATGTCCAGATAATTTTATTTTAAATGTTTTTATAACCAGTTGTCTTAACATGTATAAAAAATTGAAAAACCGAGGTACAAAAAGATGTCAAATAAAAAAAATCCTATTTTTATCCTATATTGGGTTAATTGGCCCAGATATAAAAGGTATTACAGGGGATGAAATGAACACAATGGCACTTTCATTATGACATTTTTAATTCGTGCACCTCGTTTTCGAGATAAAGCACATTTTTGTACATTTCTATAAAGGTTTATACGGATTATAAGGGGTAAAATCAACAATTCTTATTAAACAACTTGTGGTCTATTATATCATAAGAATTATTACACGAAACGTAGTCCGACTCTGCATCGTTCCACTTAAACAACTGATCGGCTGTTTACAATGTAGTAACTAGGTCAATTTCAGTGTGGTTATTTGCACGACGTGGGCACTGACGTGAAGTTCTAATATTAAATGAACAACGGATTGTAGAAGGGACATAGCTAATAAATACTTGTTATTTTCATTTTACGACTACACCTATACGAAATTAAATCTTCACTTTAGAGTCTTCGGTCAGCCAAGAATAAATCCGGGAGAATAGGATCTCCGCGTCAATTATTGTTACAAGTTGGGGGTCCAAATAATGTTATTCCGTATAAATCAAGACTGAGTCGAACGGTTGTTGTTCGAGATAATGAAATTTCGATCTTTCCTGGTAATCCGCTTACTTTTCTCTCAAAATCTGTTGCTGGAAGTTTTATTTCAACGGTAGGTAATTAATTAAATCATAAAATAAATGTTTTCGAAACAACAAACTACATTTAGTGTTGAAGTTAATACAAAATAGTGTCCTTCTTTAGCAGATTAATATTTAATGTATATTGTTAGCAAAATTCAAACAAACATTAATAGAAAATAGAATTTACAGTATACATATTGACTCACTTATGAGCTCCAATGACAGCTACTACATCTGAATATTCTTCAATGTAAGGCAAAATTAATTAATCACCAATTACAGGTGATCACCGAATATCATAAATTAGGCCTAATTGAAGCGACTCGTGATCGCAATATGAAAATAATTGGTCCTTCGCGAGAAGTTCCCAAGCCATATCACGCGAACATTCACATGCGAAGCCCCTTCAAAGCCACCTCAGCACAGACATGGACGACGCTCTTTAGAATTATTATTTTTTCTTCAACCACTGTACCTACACTGCACAAATTTTTGGTGATATCCTGATAACTAAAAGAATACGACATAAGACATATATCTACCTAACAATCCTAACATACTACTTATAAATCCTTAAGTGGTAAGTAACAGCGATATAAATCAATACAGGTTTGGATTTCTCTGCTTCCAGTGTCACGTCATCGTGATTGTGTTCCTTTGTCGACCGGAGGCAGGCTTCAGTCAGATGTAGGTCTCTCCCGCTGAAAAGGTGTACTTGAAATGATGTGACATGCCAAATGAAACTGTCAACAAATCCGGAATACTTTTTTCAGCCAACGCTTTTGCTGTTCACAATTACGAATTATTCTCGTTTTGAGGCTTTCGGCAAATTGGATTGTATCGGAAACATTCTGTAGGCGTATTGCAAAGAATTTTTCACTTTAGAACGCCTGTGACAATATCGCAACCGTATGCTGTCGTAAATAGGGATTTAATGGTTCCCAAGTAATTTGTGAAACGAGCATACGGAGACGCTGGTTCGAAAGTAGTTTGCTTAAATGCAAATCGAGGTCTGTGCCTCCATCTGGAACTTATCTGACTTCGTTTGTTTTGTATTTAGTAAATAAACTTCCAGAGACGCCTGAGATATTACAGTTGGGAACAAGTAACGCTCCGTATGCCTTTCTCTTTTATTTTTCCAATATAATTTAACAAGTATTTAGTCTTTTGATGTAGCAACTTATAATACTTTAGTACAGATTTCACTTTCCAACGTGTTTAACTTTAAAGTAATCGATTTAATCAATACATGTATAAACTCCTAAATGTTTTTGTTATAAAAATGGTTGTATGACTCATTTTGCAAAGCATTACAATCAATTTCGTCTGAGAGAAAGTGCTGAGGGAGCAGTGAGTCGACCCTGAGGTAATCAACGCATATGAAAAGCTAGTCCCTCTTTGGAAACATGGAAATGTACTTAACGCAAATTTTTTATAAGCAAATCTGATACTTATTGAAAGAAACAAGCCTGGGAAGAAAAATGTCTAAGTAATGAAAAAGAAAAAAATTAATGGCGATTTCATCACTTAATTTACTAACATTTATTTTACTCAACAAAGTTTACTATTTAACGCTAATTGAATTATTTATATTAATCGACATTTCTCTTCTTTGTAAGAGGGTAAATGGGGCAGCATTTTTTATACCTAACCTAACCCATAATTTATTGCACCCTAATTTACCCCCATTAGCTACACCAATGCAAATACCAACCCAGATGTTTACTTTAAGTGGATACTTCTTAAATGTATTTTATGACGCTCTCAATCGACACTGCAAATAAAGGAGTAGTGAATTAGCTTCCCCATAATGGGGGTCGTTCTCTAATAGGAAAAAAAATTGTAATTAATTTCGGATAATCGGTTTTACGTCAATATGGTCAATGTTTAAGTCCACCTACGTCCACAAACACCAGGTGTTTGTCAATTTCTTTCGCTTTAAGAACCACTAAATATGTCGAAATTCTTTGTAAATTTAGAAGACTTATAAATTTGATATGTAATATACTTCAAAATATCTCGAGGAACTTCTACTACCTCAAAATCTTTTAAAATCCTCTAAATATGTCAAAATGTCTTTAAACAAGCTATTTAAAAAAAACTATAAACTAATTACAATTGATTCATTACTTTGTGAATAACTAACGACGTTAAGTACATTTTGTTATGTTTAATTTAAGCTCAAATATTTTACACCACTTCTCAATTAAACATATTTCAGACTGTAAATAATTTCTGTAAGGTCGTTGATAAGTATCAGAAATAAGAGAGGTCCACGATTAGATCCTTGAGGAATACCTGATTCACCCGCAAATAGCTCAGGTTTAAAGTACTTAGACCGGCATCGAAGAAACAGTAAATACGTCCAAATTCATCGAAATATTCCAAAATACTTCGAAATACATAGAATACCTAGAAATTCTTCTAGTCCTAAAAGACTTTTGAATTTATTTGAATAAAAATGTGACAGCGAGTAACAAAATTTATATTCGAATGAATTAATGGCAAACAAATTCGGTATTTAAGAATTCCCTGAAGTGTAACAATTACTTGCACCCAACTTTCCACCATCGAAACATGTTTTTCGCCCGGCAATAATTCCTGCACTGGGCAATCCATTTCCACTTGCAGGACCGGCTAAATCCTGAACGGGGTCAGGGAGAACGCAGCCAGCCGCCATTTATCAGACTTTGCAAATTCTATGCTCTAGTAAAATTTATTTGAACGTATCGAACGACTGCGGCGCGAGCGACGATCATATCCGCATTGTGGTGATTGTAAGTCTACACATATGGTGCTGGTTAATGGTAAATTAGCTCAAAGACTAATTCGGGATATCGCCCAAATGTAGTGCCCTAGTTTCTCGCTGTTATCCTTTGCAGTGATTTCTGTCGTTCTCTTTTAAAGTTTTGTGAAATTAGTCTTGGCTCGCTCTCAACCGCGTCGTTAGTTTGGGACTTACACTCAAACCAGCAACTTTCCTCATCAACGACGTGCTCGACAAATTATTTTCTAGTAGTTCCGGCAGGATTCAAGAGGACTGGAATATTATCTGCATTCGCGGTCCTTCTAAAGAAAATAATTCTTACTGCTGTACGTAAATTATAGTCCAAAACGTGAAATCTGGCCTAATTTATGTAATTACGATCTTAGGACGAAAAAGTTCCAAAGAGGTCAGAGTAACAATTGGATATTTCTGGCTTCCTAAAACTTTAAATTTGGCGAGATTTCAGTACTGTCATGGGCGTGGTTAACAAAGGGAGGAGGAGGTCAATTTTAAGATATCAGAATGTTTTAGAAATCTGAATGAAATACTAATTTGTAGGGCAATGTACTCAGAGGTAATTGTCTTTTTAATATTTAATATTTCTAATGTATTCAGACTTTTGAAATACTGTGAAAAACTACTACTACCCCGTGTCTTTATATGGAAATCTGTAACACTTCTTTATTATATTTATATAGACAATATAACGAGCGTTCAAATAAAAACGTGGTCAAGTTGGTTCTGAAAATTTGGACGTAGGGCGTAGCGTATAGCAAATGAACTTAAACGTCATCTGTCAAAGCGCTGTATCGCCGCTTTGTTATTGAAACTGACAGCTGCTAAACAGCTCGTTGAGAAATGAGGTTAAGTTGGTCGCTATAAGCTACGCCCTACGTCCAATGTGTCAGAGCCAACTTCGACCACGTTTTTATTTGAACGCTCGTTATAAGTATACTGACCCTGACGACTCTCCTGGTTACAGGTTACCTGGAGCAAGGCCTCCTGGTGACGGACCCGCACAAGCTACGAGCCCACTACCTCCTGTCGAAGTCCTGGAGGACGGACATCCTCTCCGTGCTACCCACCGACCTGGCCTACATCTGGTGGCTGCCCTACGAGTGCAGCGACAACAAAGTGCCCTGTTCCGTGATCGTCCGCCTAAACAGACTCTTCAAGCTGCCGCGTTTGTGGGAGTGGTGCGAGCGGACAGAGACCGACACGAACTACCCCAACGTGTTCCGCATCTGCAAGGTGGTGCTCGCCATCCTGGTGCTGATCCACTGGAACGCGTGCCTCTATTTCGCGATAAGTTACGCGATCGGTTTCGGGACGGACAACTGGGTGTACAATATCTACGGGCCTAAGAACTCCACGTTGGCGAGACAGTATATTTATAGTTTCTACTGGTCTACATTGACGCTGACGACGATCGGGGAGACTCCGGTGCCGGAGAACGACGCCGAGTACTTGTTCGTGGTGGCGGATTTCTTGGCGGGAGTGCTGATCTTTGCCACCATCGTAGGTAAGTAATGAATCAGGTTTTGATGCACGGAAACCAACCTAACAATGAAGTAAACAACTTCAGGACCTTCTAAAAGAATCGTTTTGTCTTTACTTCCCCTAATTTTTGCTGTGCAACGTTAAAAATCCATCCTCCGGCGGATATTTCTGCGTTAACGTCACATCCAAGTTTGTACACTTACGTACAAAAACAAGACATCGATACGTTTACCTGCCAGCTACTGTCGGCCCGTCAAAAATAATTTATGGGCCCTTTTTCAAGCTAAACAACTTTAAGATTATGCTGCCTTGTTAAACTGCACGCCTGATTACCCTCATTGAATGAAACCCCGCCGCTATTAATCCGACCGGAATTTTCTCTGCGATTCCACCCTCGTCCTTAATAAATATCAAGATTTAGTTGCCAGATCCTCGGGCTGACGACGTTACGCGATGAATCGATATTCCTTATTTCTTATTTGCACGGATCTGCCTTTGATGTGAATTGGCATTGGGCGGGAAGGAAGTTCCAGTTGTATTAGCCGTAAAGTAAATACCTGCGAACGTCTCTGGACCGTGTTTCTATGCGGGGGTTATTCCCTATTTGAATGCTTTCATTTCCAAACGCTCCCCTGTCCGATTATGATAATTCCGGGTAGCTTTTGCGAAAAAATCGGACGACTAATATACATTTACTCTCTTAATGACAATTTCATTTGTTTGCGACAGGTTTTCATTGTTACGGGAAAAATTGGAATGTGAAATATACGAAATTGAACACCCCAATTTATATTACAAAATAAAAGTACAAAAATTCTTAAAGACGCCTGTCATACAAATTTAGCGAAGACCTTAGTGAACTACCATAACTGTTATTTTTTACTTTAAAATGAATTAAATAATCGTATCTTCAGACACCGAGGTTACAGTCAAATTAAACATTTCATCTCGTATTTTACCTGTGTACAGCAAAACTGAACGTTGTATTTTTCGTGCCATTTCCACTTGTTTTGTTTTTCTAAAGCAGCATGCATAAAGAATATTATGAAATGTATCCCATAATAAAATGAAAATATTTCCCTGAAACATAATATATACGCAATGAAACAAAACGGTATAAGGTGTTTCCCACCTAACGCCGCTAAAAATATTATATAGGTACTGTATAAAATCCAGCAATATTATATATATAAAACCCACTTGGGTAAAAAAACAGTAAATTTAAAGCAATTTTATATGTATCCTCTGCAACTGATAAACGACCTGCGTTCGGTATTTTTCGTTTCAAAGCTATTTTATAAAGCCTTCACGTTTGGATACCTCACACATTCCAAATAATTCATCAAAGACTAAATTAATGACGTTCGTTCAAAGCTGATAACATTTTTTTTAATTTAAAATTGAAACGAAACTGCATTTATCGGTACTAGTCCAGTTACTCAGGGTTTTTACCTCCGAATTCTTTATAACTGAACCGATTGACGTGAAATTTTGACTGAATGTGGGGAATGCCTCAAGGAACAAAACTTATATAGTGCCGAAGTGTGCTTTTGCCCTGGGGGTGGTTCCCACCTCTTCTTGGGGGTGGAAATTTTTACGCCCAAAATAACCACAGGAATCGACAGAGGAGTCAATTTTAAATATTACATAAAGTTTTTTGCATAATCCAATACTTTCCGAGTAATTTGTCATTGAAAATGTTGATTTTTTACTGAAAAAGTGCTTGTTTTCGGACAGTTTTTTGCAAATAACTCTGCTTGGATTTAACGAAAAAGTTGTTATGAACAAAAATAAAGGTAATAAAAAAACAAATCTAATGGCATTATTTTGTTTTTCTCTAATTGCAATATAAACCGAGTTATGGATTTTTAAATATTATATGTTAGCTAAAAACTAAATTGAAACTAGTTAACGTTAAATAACGCCAAAACCATAAATATTAGGAAAAAAAAAACAATTTGAACCTTTTTTAAAGTACTTTGAAAAACCTTTAAAATGAGCTGTTTTAAAAGTCTTTAGAATCAAAATTAACGGAAACACGGTCGAAATAACATGATACTTTCATTTTTTTTTTTTTAAGAAAGAAATAATAAACAAATCAGTGCCTTTGGCGACAGAATTAAAATTAAATGCAATTAATTTAGATTTATTTTTTGGCTCACTTACAAAGCACGATTTCGAAAAAAAACTTAATTTTTGAAAATGTTAATATTTCAAATTTTTTGAAAAAATAAATTCGATTTTTATGCTGTAACTTTAAAATTAAAAGGTGTACGAAAAAAAATACAAGAGTAAAAAAATTTTGCTTTATTTTTGCCGAAGATTTTATTTAATTTTTTTATTCCTGTAAAATTAATATTAATCGAGATATCGCCATTTTAAGTTATCATATGAATGAGAGAACCACCTTTTTCGAGCCCTTTAAACCCTTCAAACTTAAAAATAAAAGGCTCAAAAAAGATCAACTCAACAGTTCACGTAGCCCTTACAATTCCCTGCAAAATGAGCCTTTGTGCGATTAAAAATCTTAAAAAGAAAGTTATCGTTAAAAAAATAAACACGTGTATAGGTGATAATTTTAGGAAAATTTAGGTCAAACAAGAATGTTGAAGCATTTAGATCTTTTTTGTATATATTTACGTATTTAGTATGTGAATATTCGAATAAACCAGTACTATACTATATTATAACTACTATATTAAAAAAAGGGAATAAATGTTTATTTAATACGAATGCACATTTAAAATGTTTCTACTCTTTCAATAATATTTTTCATTTTATTTTCGAAAGAAGGGTTGAAAAGTTGTAATCGATAAAAAAGATTTTTTAATCAAGAAATCAATTTTAATTTGATAAAAATGCATGATAAAAACGTTTCAAGTTGAAAAAAAAAAATTATATTATTTTCATCCAAAGGAGTGGTTTTTAAAGCTTTTTCCGGGTTGAAAATTTAGGATACATTAAGTTTCATGTTAGATAGCACATGAAATTACTCATACTGCACAAATAAAAAAGATTTGATTACATAAAATGCTTAAATTTGTATTTTTTTCCAATAAGGGGTGGTTTTCACCCCTTAAGAACAAAAAGCACACCTAGCGCATATATAAGTATTGAAGTAGGGGGTAAGATGAGCCTAATTCTAAATTTTAAGAAAAATCAATGCAGTTATAAAAAATTGGGAGGTATTACTATATTTTCAGCCACAGTAACTGGGCTATACAGACCAACTACGTAATTACTACAATCTGTAAATGTGAACAGAAAACAATTTTTGTAATATGTCATGCAGGTATTAATGATTCGTTTACAACGAACAATGACAAACCGTTGCGTCTAAGCTCGAGATAATGCAATCGCTGATTAGTTGAACCCGTGAAAACTTACACCAATCACATCCGGTGAAACAGAAATTTCCGTACGATTTCAACATAGACAGCGTGACAATTATCGAATTTCAAACGAATACATCCCCATCTCCCCATTTCATCCCTCTCCTTCTTCCAGGCAACATCGGCTCGATGATCTCCAACATGAACGTGGCCCGAGTGGACTTCCAGAACCGCATGGACGGCGTGAAGCAGTACATGGCGTTCCGCAAGGTAGGGCGAGAGTTGGAAGCGCGCGTGATCCGGTGGTTCGCCTATACGTGGGCCGAGAGCGGCGCTCTAGACGAGGAGCGGGTGCTGTCCGCCCTTCCGGACAAGCTGAAGGCGGAGATCGCAATCAGGGTGCACCTGGATACCCTGAGGAAGGTCAGGATCTTCCAGGACTGCGAGCCCGGGCTGTTGGAGGCCCTGGTGCTGAAGTTGAGGCTGCAGGTGAGTCAAACTACAGCTTATTAGTTCAGAAAATTTAACTGGGCGTAATAAATCGGTCCGGAAAACGTCCTGCGTAGAAGTGAGAAGCTGCTAATCTATTTTGCCTTGCTTGAGCAACATGAAAAACATCATACTGTAAGTAATGGCAAATCCACAAATTAATTATCATCTTTAGTTGTTTTGCGAAACAGGTGCCTTTTCCAATTGTTTCATTTCAGTCACTATCTTTTAACGGGAAAAGCCTGCAGTTGAAGTAACCTGTAGTCACTGATCAGTGACCCTTGAAGGATAAATTGGGACATTCCTTATTGACCTTGAACAAAATCTATCGCCTACACGTGTTTACAGACGTCGGTATTTTCCGTCCGCGAATCATTTCGAGAAACAAACGACATTAAATGAATATTTATCAACTATTAGTAAGTAAAGTATCCACCACTAGCCGTTTGCACTGAATTCGTAACTGCATTTAGCATAATAAGTGGTCGGGAGGCACTGCTGCGCTTTACTGTAGACGACTCGTTCGGAATTTTAATCCTCGACTTTCATAAGGCTCGGCTTTGTTCAGTAGCGACGTTAAAAGTTGACCCTTAACCTACACACTGAATGCGGTATTACTTAGGGATTTCGTTTGTCAACAGCTTGGGAAATAGTTTCCATAATACTTTGATTGACATGTCGGGAAATTGACTGCAAAATTGTATGTAGTGCGAATGTACCTATTCAAGTTTCTTTCGAAACTATGCATTATTCCTAAACATTTCTAAAGCTTCCATCCCTTGTCGGCCTTTTTCAGCGGGAGTTTTTCACCATAAAATGATCTTGAAAGCACCCCCTAATATCCTAGTTTAAGCTTTGACTACAGGGTAAGATCTCGTGCAGAAAACCTCAACTGCAGTCTTTATCGCATGGTTTTCACTCACAAGAACATTGCGCTCTTTCAGCGGATGTATTTTCAACTCAAAAATCACGGTCTGGCGGATTTACAACTTCTGTAATGGATATAGATTGGTTTTGTGGGCGATCATTTGAAATAAGACAGCAATACTAGGAGGTTCACTTCATACATGTTACTTTAAAGCTCAATGGAGGTCTTTGGATGAAATAATAATAATAAATAGCAATAAATCTATGGTGCGATAAGACAAATTAAGTCAAATATGACATCCGGACCTGAATACTGGCATTAACAATTATTTTTAATGTATCAATAAAAGCTTCTTTCGTCCTTTTTTTTGTTTGACCAAAAGTATAAAAAATTCCTTACTTTTCGTTTTGTTCTCTTTATTTGTATTATTTGTAAATTTATATATTTTTTCTCTCTATTTTTTTATATTTAATTTGTTTTCTTTTTTGTTATGTTTTAATACACTATCACACCCTGTATACAACAAACGTTATTTCTTCCTCCGGTAAACGCAATAGGTAACCCTAACAAATCTCTATTAACGTGCCAATTTTGTTCCAGGTATTTTCTCCGGGAGACTATATATGCCGGAAAGGTGACGTGGGCAAAGAGATGTACATCGTAAAAAGAGGCAGATTGCAGGTGAGCCAACAATTACACCTGTCCGATGTAATCCTCAAGCCGCGATAGATTTAGGCAACCTTATAAGAGGATCAGCTCGGAATATATGTAGGAACCGAAATAAGTACGTGTAACTTCTTCTGCTTTCGAGACACGGAATAAAAATAATAATCCTGGGGATAAGCCTCGCAGATGCTGTACGCAGAGAATATATTGGACATATGAGATATCGCTTAATGTTTATCCAGAGTAAATAACGTATATCTTATTTCTGATACGTCGAAGGATAACAATAAATTTGTCAATTGTAGCGAAAGGATTTTTATTATTACGATTTTATGGGAGCTTCTGTAAGCTTATAGATAGAAAGTCACACCTTTGCTTGTCGAATTTTGGAAAATACTAGTTTAGATTCTGTAGTATGGAAGTGTAACATTTTTCAAAGCAATATTTTTTTCTGTTGCCATCTCTCTTTCATGAAATAGAAATTTACGTAAAAATATTTACTAACTATAGTTACAACAAAAATTCCACGTACCTATCTACGAATCTGCTTTAACTACAAATAAAAATCAATATCAAACCTACCAAAATAGACAATTACTGACGCTGCACCCAGACCACTTAGATCAAAATTAAATTATGAATGACCAGCCCACACATGTAGGCCTTTATCGCATATACTATACAGACACCTCCATTAACCAATCCACCAGTATTTCGGCAAATTTATAGAGCAGATAGTTCGCTGGACTTCCTTTCCCCCCTACCTTCCTTATCTCACTCTCCCCTCCCGCGCTAGCCTAAGGGCCACCTTAGCAAAGCGCTTCCTAAGCTGCATAGCTGCACGACCTAACCCAAAACCACCACCACCCCCGGGGGTATACACAGACGAGCCGGCGAAGAAAGAAGAGCGCCAGAAGAAAGGGCCCTAGCCGGCGGGGCCCAGCCAGGACAGGAGGAGGCCCCACGAACCGATCCAATCCGGCCGTGTTGGCGGTCCGGAATGACGGGGAAAGGGCCTACCTCTACGAGGCGTCCGGGCCTACAGCGATGAAGTGGGTAAAGAGCGATAATCCCGCTCGACCCCGCTCCATCCGAGGTCATTTTTCCTGCCAAGGATATTGGCGCGCGTGGACTTCCTCTACGGAAGTTGCAATTTCCTTCTAGGCTAATGAAGAATAATCGCGTTTGGTAATAAGACAGGCGGGTTTGAGTTGTACAGTGTGATTCGCTGGACTTGTTACAAACATTGGCAAATAGAGTTATAAAATATAGGTATATTTTTTACCCCTGCACATTTAATTTTTAAATTATAGTTATAGCAGTCAATCATAATCTTACAATATAAATTAAAGTTTTTAATTCTGAAATTAATTTCTCTTATTTTATATTTCATATAAAATTAAGTAAGAGGATATTTTTATTGATCTCTAAATATTGTAACTGTTTTGAAGTTGTCTTACGAACTGGATCGTCGTAATTGGTTCAACAAGTATATCTAGAAGGCTTGTCTCAAAAAATAAAGGGGTACAGTACAAACCATTAACATAATAAGGAAAAAACAAAGCTTAAAAACCAACCTTTCGTCTGGGTTCTCCATAGCTTCACAGAGTTGGAAATTCGTATTAATTTAAAGCAAGAAAAATCAGCTAAAAAAACAGTTCGAATTTGATTTCATTCCGTAATATCGGCATAATGAGATATGTAAATATTTGCAAATTTCACCTGAATCAGGAGAGTGTGCTGCTCATGACTCGAGTATGAGGCGAAAAGCGAAGCTTGAATTTGATATTCTTCTGATTTGAATATTTAATGAAGTAACAAATCGAAGTAGTCATCTAACTGCAAGGACGAATTTATGAATAAATCCATTCGAATTTTCTCGCATGCCATAAAGATGAAAAATGTAATAGTCGGGAGAATGTGATTTTAATAAAGTCTGCTCTTTTTTTCAGCATTTCATTCCATTTAATAGATTTAATTGTGTTTGAGGCAGTCGCACGAGAAATATTTTTTCTGTAGATGATATTACTCCTAAAGCAGAAAATTCTTATTAAGGGTATAAGGAATACGTTAATGAAAAGTATTAAAATTAAAAAGAAAATAAATAAATTATGATATTAACAATTCAGTTAAATATTCATTAAACTGGGGAAAAAGGAAAGCGGAAAAACTTGAACGAAATGAGTCTGCTTAATGCTTAATTAAAATATTCATTAATTCAGTATTTTTTCTTTCGTAAAAAGCACTGATAGCTGCATCGTTTGCTGCCCAGTTTGTTGTACAGAGTGTTATTAAATCCATGTTCAGTCATTTCAGTAAAAAAATGACGCAATAACAGATCATTGGTGAAATAAAGAGAGAGCATCGGCTCCAAGTTGGAGCCTTGTGGGCCATCTAAATAAGTTTTATATTTTTTGAAATTATAACATTATATTTTACTTTACATCACGTCATAATAATTCGCACGTCTATTGGTTCACTTTCACAGATACGAGGCATTAAAAACTCCAAAAATGTATTTTTAATATCAATTTTTATTTAAGGCGTGATAATGCCTCTTCAAAATAATAATATACCAGCCTTACTCCACCCACCTCACTGATTTTTCATCTAATAGGTATTTGTATATACACACAACGAAGGTAGAAGTACTTTNCAACAACTTTTTTAAGAATCAAATCGTCAACTTTTCACAATGTAAATACTAAACACACACCTAAGTTAAACATCCTAATTGGCAACAGTGTATCGTCGTCGTCACAGCCTCAGCGGTGCGGTGTTTAAAATTTCTTCTAACTTGAAAAGCTTATAAAATTGTTTCGATTTTAATTTTCATGTTGTTATTTGAAATAAATATTAGTTGAAAAAAATTCATTACTGTATCGGGGATCGAACCCGGGACCACCGCGTGACGGTACAACGCGTTACGCTCTGAGCCATCACAGCACAGTTGTCATATTATTCATGTCCATCTTTATAAGGTTAATATTTTGAAATATCTAATTAATAATAATACATATAAACAAATTAACAATTTTACTTAGTGTCAAAACAACGGTGATATTTTTTAATAGGTCGCTTAATTACGTCTTTGAGATTACAACGACGCTTTCAGAATCATGTTTGATTGAAAATTAACGTCTGTACAGAGGCTTAAAGTTCATAACTTTGGGAGCCTCCGTTATAGACGTATTTCCTTAGTTCCGTCATATATTTTATTTTTCAATTATGAGAGCATTTTGTGACTGCGAAATATATTCAGTCACGGCGAAACGAAGTCAAAAATTAAAATATGTTCTACAGTTTTCTATAAGCCATACAATTTTAATGGTTAAGTTTGATACTGGCTCCATCTGGACTAGAAGCTCCAAACATTCATATTTGTTGTTCTCTTTGGNGTGATAATGCCTCTTCAAAATAATAATATACCAGCCTTACTCCACCCACCTCACTGATTTTTCATCTAATAGGTATTTGTATACAGGTTCGGAAAGTCCCCATGGTACATCGGTCGTTACGTGAGAGCGATAAAGTAAGTTATAGAAATCCGTGCGATAGAGAAGGATGACTATAATGAAGGCGTCACCACCCGCTTCGCCTTTCCACAACTAAGATCCACTTCCACTTGTAATTCAGCGACCGGTGGTCATCTTTGTTTTCGTCATTTGTCTTTTCTGTAATAGATGTCACTACTTATACAATTCCCACTTCGTATTCCGATATGTCAATACAATCCGTTAACAGAGCACAATTTGTCTAAGGTGAGGCACAACCCTAGATAGAGCGATGCCAGATCTACAGATTTTTTTGGAATTGGGGAAATAGGGAATTTTGCTTTATTTCTTGGGATTTTTAAGTCATTTTAAAAACTATACCTAAATAACAACTAAATGAACTTTAAATGCAACTGAGCACTATACTCCATTTGAATAACTTCTCAGTAGGGGAAACAAGGTCACTAGATTTACAAACAGAGGTATCAACTAGCTGCTGTAAAAAGTTTTCTTTGTTACGCGTTGTGCTGCCCTCTGTTAACGGATTGTATTAACATATCGGAATACCGGAGTCGAAATTGTGTAAGTAGTGACATCTATTAAATAAAAGCCAAACGACGAAAACAAAGATGACCACCGGTCGCTGAATTACAAGTGGAAGTGAATCTTATTTGTGGAAGGGCGAAATGGGCGGTGACTATGAGACGCCTTCATTATAGCCACCCTTCTCTATCGCACGGATTTCTATGACTTACTTTATCGCTCTTACGCAACGGCCGATAAACCATGGGCACTTTCCGAACCTGTATACACACAACGAAGGTAGAAGTACTTTTATTCGAAATATTTCGCGTTTCTCGCACATTTTTCGGTCTGCGTTCACACTTACCCCAATCAACTGTCTTTCAGGTCGTCGCCGACGACGGCTACACCGTCCTGGCCACCCTGGGGGCCGGCTCCGTGTTCGGCGAGGTGAGCGTCCTGGACATAGCCGGAAATCGCACTGGAAACAGACGAACGGCGAACGTGAGGTCCTTAGGCTACTCCGATCTATTCTGTTTGGCTAAGGACGACCTATTAGTTGCGCTGGCCGATTACCCCGAGGTGAGTGGAAACTGCAATGCGCTGTTTGTTATCTTCACGGGGAGTAAAAACACGGGGGCAATTAATTTCTGTTGTTGATCCCGTCTGGTTCGTCGAGAGACGGGATTTGGTCGCGGCAATTAAAAAAATATACTGGAAAAGCTTCACTGTGGATCAGGCAGACACGAATCTAAATATAAAGTTCGGTTTTGTGGAATGGAAAGCGCTCGAATAATACAGGGTGTCTCAATACTATTCCGTTGGTGGGCGTTTCAAAGTCATTTGAAAGAAACAATTTTTATTGCCAATAATTTGGTTTGTTTCATATTGACCTTTTGTCTCTCTTCAGGCAAGGGCGACGCTGACGGAGCGCGGTTGTCAATTGTTGCGAAAAGACGGCCTCTTAGACGAAGATCAGTTCCGGAAGGCTAGAGAGACGCAGGATTCGATGGCGGACAGTATTAAGAAGCTGGAAAGCACTGTGGAAACTCTGCAGACGAGGCTGGCCAGGCTGCTCGCAGAATTCACAGCCAGCCAGGCGAAATTGAAGCAGAGGCTGACGAAGGTGGAGACCAGGTAGGTTGAAGATAACGGCACAAACACACAAATTGATAAATGATATAGCGTCAACAGTTATTTTCAACAGATGACAGTGACAAATCATTTATAAATACGGTAAACAATAAAGGCCCTGAATTAGAACCTTGTGGCACTCCAGACATAACAAGTACTCCACAGTTCACAACCAACTACATAAATTAACGAACTCTTAAGTTAGGTTAAGTTTCATATTCCGTTTGACATATCTACCAAGTATTATCGACGAAGGATATTTTAAGGTTATGCAGAAAAAATACACTTGGTATTTCAATCAGAGAAATACACGTTTTTGTAAATGCTTAAAAGGTTCATTTCTTTTCTATCCGCTCGGGTGATGGATTAGACATCTTCACCAGACACTTTCAGGGTAAAAAATTACAGGTAGGTACCTACTTCATCTATCATGACGCTATCTAACACTTCACATCTAAATAGGCTCGCGGGTGGGGTTAACAATAAATCGAGGAACAAAAACAACCGAGGGGATGCAAATCTTTGGCAGATCCGAGAAGCCGTCGGGACTGCAAATTATGAGCAATCGCCTACGGCGATGCTACCTCTCGCCGGACGTGGTCAGTCCGACAGAAACTTATTACCTATTTAATTGGGTGGTCGTCCTAACGTTGTGATGAATTGGCCTCGGTTAGCCTGGCGTAGGATGGAACGAAGGGAGGTGCTGTTATCGCATTTTTCTGCATACCAAGCTCGGGGCTAGGTCAGCGGTGTAAAAAATTACCCTGGATGGATTAAAAGCGAAAAAAATATATTCGCTATTTGCGAGATACTGAAGAAATGTCGGTGGAGTAGTGTGAAGCTCCTGACCAGTTAATTGGAGAAAATTTTAGGAATTTTTAGTATTTCCTAACCTGATAAAATAACTTTGCGTGAAGACTATAATGTGCTGTTCATATAGCATAATGTTCCTACATATCTTGACATCTGTTTATATGTATTTTTCTCCACAACATGGAATATTTCGTCCTCAGTGTTGACGCAGCAAACTTTTTATTAGCATTAGGGAAATGTGTCAGCAGGGTGCCGATTCAAGTATCTTATGCATTTCAAGGTAGTCTCCAGGCTTTTTATTATAACCAGGACCACCACAAACTATCTGTCCTTGAACAGTGTCATCTACATATTTATTACATTAATAATTATGGTAATTCGTCCACCGTGGAGTCAATAAAATTAGTAATAGCATATTAATAAGCAATCTATTGATTAATAATAAACACCTACGTGCTTCTGGGTAGATGAAACTGAAAACATCGCGGATTAATTAGGTTTTTAGAATATTACGCTCGATTTTATAGGTTCTACGCAGTGGACATAAACACTGCACTGTATTATAATTTTATAAACTGTTCATTAGGAACAACACAGGGAAAATCTTTAAAAAAATTACCTACATCTTCACAAAAGTTAGGAACACAAAACTGCGATTTAAACGCACATTTAATAGGACTATAAACCACTATTATCAAGACCTTTTGGAGAATCAAATCGCAATATAAGTATATAATATACTTAAACCGTACCTAAGTTGAACACCCTATTTGACAACAGTGTATCGTCGTCCTCACAACCTCGGCGGTGTTTAAAATTTCTTCTAACTTGAGATTTATATAGAATTATCTGCATTTTTTCTGTCCATCCTTGTATGCCGAACATTTTGAAATATCTAATTTATAAATACATATGTCATAGTACAAAAAATTATAACAATTAATAATTGACACTAACTAGTAAAACACTATTGTAAACACTACCGCAACGACGATTGTAAAATCGGATTTTAAGTTTTCGGAGTCGCTGAGGTCACGTGGCTCTCCACGCGTATTGCGAATGGCGCTAGAGACTACAGTTGTCCAGCTATGTAACTACTAGAACTTAAATAATTTTTTTCTCGGACACTATAAAGATTTTACAAAAATTTTGTTCACGATATCGACTCCATTTCTCATGCCGCATCTATTCCTACATTTTTTTAGATAAATTGTGAATCACCCTGTATATTAAATAAGTAGGTACCTACTTAAATTTAAATAAAAAGGTATTAGGTACCTACTCTTTTTGCTAAGATAGATATATGTGAATACGTGCCTCTAGTGGTGCAAAAAATACGACTTCCACGCGTACGCTGTACAAAGGCGATAATGCTTTCTGCAAAACAAATCTGGAACAGAGTTTATACGTGCAATAAATCCTAAAGATAAAACTTTGCGAGAAACATTGCTAGTGTCAAGCACAACTTATTTCGTAAATCAAAGAATATCGTCTGGTTCCCCCAAAACAACTGGTCGGTCCAGGCGTGTATTCTCATACAGAGTGTTTGGAGAAAATTAATTTCATCTTAATCCAGACGTAGATATTTAATTCGAAATAGTTCGTCTTGCATATTTTTCTATAATTCATGTAGGATATTGAACCAGTGACAGAAACTAGGTATATTGCAATATTTTTTTTGTCGCGTCAAATTTTTGCTAACATTTTGTTCATACTATTTAGCGATTAAACAGTTCGAGACACTATTTTATTTTATATATTATAAAATTTAAGAGCAGGATTACGAGAGCTAAAGTCGTAACACTTCTTAGATGGCGATTGGATGCCCTTTTCCTAATTTCTTGCATAAATTTGAGAACCCAATTTTCAGACGAGAATCTACTCGTCGGTAACTCTCCATTAATAAAATCTAGCCATTCGCCAGTAGATGGTACTGATTAGCATACATTAAATAATGCAAACATGTCATTATAGATGTCCTCGTACACGGCATCGGCAATGAGAAGTTTAAAAAAACGCCATACAATTTGCACAAAAAACGGGAACCGTCTTTTTATGAAGTTTGGTTATTTCATTTATGATATTGATGTGTCCTGCGTCGTTTGACATCGTAAATATTATTCTAGTTTGTGAGTTGTGTATTGTACTGATACTTTTTTTATTAATTAGTTATTATTATATATTAGTTATTATTATTATTAGTGACCTTTGTGTTGTGAACTATATTTACTGTGTTTATTATTTATTGTGTGTTTATTTCGCAATGCCGAAAAGCTTAGGAAAAACTAAAAAAAAAGGTCAAAACGTGCTAAATCACTTAAAT